AAGGATGTGTGCGTGTTGTGCGGGGTGTGTGCGTGTTGTGCGGGGTGTGTGTGTGCTGTTAGAAGGATGTGTGGGTGTTGTGCGGGGTGTGTGCGTGTTGTGCGGGGTGTGTGCTGTGCGGGGGAGCTACTTGAGCCTCTGTTTAATTTCCTGTTCCCCCCACCCCCCTAATCCCCCCCCCTCGTGTCGCTGGCACCGGAGCCGAAGCGACCGCTTGGAGGAGCGCGGATTATGCGTTCATTGGAAGCAAAGACAAAGATTCCCTGTACAGCCTCTAACAGACTGTTGGGGCAAGTGCTGTTAGCGAGTAACACCTATGAAGGCCGGCCCGGCACACAAGCGCTTGGGTGGCCTACATCACGCCCGGCTACCTTTGTTTCCCCAGTGCTAATGTTGTTTAATACACACTGCATCGGGTATTCATTTGAGGCTGAGTCGATCTAAGGGAGGCCCAGGTCCGGTTAAAATATTCGCCACTATTATTATTGGTCGTGAGCGGGAATCGAGTAGGGGCGCTGGGTTACGCACAGTGAATGTTTATATATATACACGTGAATACATGCACAGTGAATGTTTAATCATATATACACACGTGGATACAAGCACAGTGAATGTGTGTATATACACACGTGGATACATGCACAGTGAATGTGTGTATATACACACGTGTACACATGCACAGTGAATGTGTATATACACACGTGGATACATGCACAGTGAATGTGTGTATATACACACGTGTATACATGCACAGTGAATGTGTATATACACACGTGGATACATGCACAGTGAATGTGTGTATATACACACGTGGATACATGCACAGTGAATGTGTGTATATATACGTGTATACATGCACAGTGAATGTGTGTATATACACACGTGGATACATGCACAGTGAATGTGTGTATACACACGTGTATATGCACAGTGAATGTGTATATACACACACGTGTATACATGCACAGTGAATGTGTATATACACACACGTGTATACATGCACAGTGAATGTGTATATACACACACGTGGATACATGCACAGTGAATGTGTGTATATACACACGTGTATACATGCACAGTGAATGTGTGTATACACACACGTGTATACATGCACAGTGATTGTGTGTATACACACGTGTATACATGCACAGTGAATGTGTATATATAAACAGGTACACACGTGGATAGGTGCGCACACAACAACCACCGTTCACCACAAAGTGGCGGTGACGTGACCAGGGCACGTGTACCAGGCTAGGTGCACTTTGAAGCCACACGAAGTGTCGAGGGTCTGCTGGCAGGTCACGGAACAGCTCCGGGTGCCATGGGATGACTGGCAGACACCCCACCTGTGCACCCCACTGCCCCAACGGTTTATCCACCAGGCGCTCTGCTCGTTGTTGTGAGCTTCGCTCCTCTGCCCTCCGTTGTTGCTGGAGGCCAACTGCCTCCCACTCCACCCAAACGCGTGTGCAGACAACCATACCAGCAGCATACACGACGGTATAGGCGATCTTAAATGACCGATGTGAATTTTAATGATGCGATCAAAGGGCTAGAGAGCTGAAGCATGGCACTAATATAGTCGAGGATATATTTACATTCATCATCAGCAGCAGCAGCAGCCATGTTCAATCCACTGCCAAGCGCCACCACCTCTCACGACCCGGCGATTTAGCGATCCATCGCTCCATCTCCGCTGTGGCCGCCTCTCGGACGCGTTCCACTCCTTGACTGCCGCTCCGTGACGACTCTCGACCATCGTCCATCACGGTCGCCTCCTGTGGCCGTGACGCGTCCTGCCCAGGCCCCGCCCACT